CAAATAGCAATGTCAGGTATGAGAGTCCCACACACTTCTGGGAGGAAGTTGTTTGAGTTGACATATGAATTTTGTGAAGAAGCTACATGGCTTTCAAAGTCACCAGAACTTGCAGGTTCTTACTTAGCCTTGTCTGGAGTCTAAAGCTCCTAATGCCTAAGCTTTAGGCATTTCATGATTTACAAAAATGGTTGTGACCATGTCTGACTTTAATGCAGCAGCTGTTTGCCTCTCCTTCCAGACTGGAGATTTCCAAGGGGCTTCGTGAGAAACTGTTAAACCATAAGAACTAAAGTTCCATTTATTTGGTATGCCCAGAATGTTGTCTTCCCCTAGGCCGTGGTAGCACCCATTGAGATGGTCTTCATTTGCATTAATCATTTTCATGTGCTTTGCACTCAGCTACACTGGTATTCAGAGAAAAATGCTGCCATGACAACTGCCACAACAGATGGTATTTGATCAGTCTCTAAGCTACCAGGGAGATATATAGCAGTGCTTCCGAGGTTTGCATATTTTATGTTATCAGGAGACTCAAGTCCAGCCTTAATCATGATTGAAATGCAAAGTTTTCCATTTGCTTCCTATCTCCTGATTCTCTTTCCAGTTGTTTGGCATTTGTTTTGATTTTTCTAATGCCCTGGCTGTCCTGGGTGGGGAAATACTTCAGGATATGGGAGACAAAGGCTGCAACATACATAGCCCATGGAAGTTGCCCTGCAAGTCTGAAGTTCAGAGACTGTTGAGAAACGATTCGACTTTGGGATGGTGGTCTCAGCTGAGATTGGCAGAAAGGCTTAATTGCAGCCTCTCTCATGGATATTCAGGCACTACACAAGGTGGAGCCACATTTGGCCCCAAACAAAGGGCATTCTGGGGAAGTGCATCCTGGTCTTTGTCTGCCCCTCTTCTTTGCCTCCATCCTTCATCCAACACCTCTCTGCTCCTGGAGTCTCCAAGCCACATGGTGGTTCCTCTTCTGGGTTTCCCCCTCTACCCCAGCTAATGCTGCAAATTCCAGCAACTTAGTCCCTGATCTCTTAGACCCATTTCTATGGCAACAACTACAATACCTTCTCACCCAGTCCCCAGCCCCCTTCAACAACACTGGAATGTCAGACTTCCACAGATTTTTTTTTTCAGCTAATTTTGGAAAGTAGTTTATATTGGCCCCTACATGCTAATGAACAAGTTTGGTCTTATTTACATACTTTGCTGTTTAAAGGTCTTTTCTCTCACTCTGCCTCCCAACTTTAATCGGATCTCATCTTATGCTGTGTGTCTGGATCACACATGAGTCTTGTTAAAGATGGGCACGAGGACATCATTGTGCTGTAATGAGCACTGGGGTGCTGCCACTGCGGTTGTTTCCCTCTTGAGATATGGTAGGAGTTTGCAATTTCAACAGTACATGAAGATGGATTGTGTTTACCTGTACAGTATTTAGAAGAAAACCTTAAGGTGAATTTTAATCACAAGAGGGCCTGGATCAAAGAAACAATCTTTCCTTCTGATCTCCTTCCAAATGAAGCCAGGAGGTTGGAAGCCACATCTGACCCCATTCTGCTTCCCAGCCTCACTCTCTTCCTGGGGTGCAGATGAAAGAGCGTGGGTCTCAGTCGCCTTGTCAGGAGTGATTTTTAACCTTAATGGAATATTATTAAAGAGTGGATTTGAGACTTGAGGAATGTTTTTTGAACTCCTTCTGTGAACAGAGAAATCATAATATAAAGGAAAAATTCAAGGCACTTGATGGACTTACGAATGATCTTTTAAATAATGACCAAGTGCTTAGTTTTAACATTTTCTGGAGTGCAGGCCAGCCATCTGGTTTTGGCTGTCTGTATTTCATCTCTTCAGAAGAAAACATTGTTGCCCTTAGGCCTACTCTGTTCACCTAATAAAGGAAGATCCTAATGCTTCTCTTGTTTATGTGTTCTGATTCTTCTTGAGACACACAGGAATCAGGGTGTGTGTTGAATGGCTCTGTGGACCCTAGAGGAGGATTACCTAAATGCTGGTTCCTATGTATGACAGGGAGGAGGATCTCCTGGTTTCTCACCCAGCTATGCCATTGACATTTGACCTGTGTAATCTTGGTCAAAAATATGCCCTTCTTACCTCACTTTCTCTATCAGGTAATACTTGCTAAAACCAACACCATCCAAAGAATTGAGTGTCATGCTGGCACAGAACAGACATCTACACAATGATGTTGGCTGAATGAATGCTTGAAAGAATCCTGTAAGTCAGGGCTTCTCAATCTCAGCACTGTTGACATTTTGGCCTGGATAATTCTTTGTTGTGCGAAGCTGCCCTGTGCATTGTAGGATGTTTAGCAACATCTTGGCCTCTATCCGTAAGCTGCTAGTGGTATGCTGCCCCCATTGTGACAGCCCAAAATGCTGCCAGACATTGACAAATTGGTCCCTCACCTCCACCCTCTCTCTATAGCCAGTGGAGAACTACGGATCAAAATTATGAAATTCTGTGAAAAAAAAAAATGAACAGGACTTCAAAAAGTTAACAAAGAAGTATTCGGGTAACTTATTTATAATTATTCATCCTTTTAATAGAATCGGACATTAAAAAAAGTCCAGCAGATGGTTGAATTGAAATGTATCAAGGCTAGCCTTGCAAACAGGCACTATCATGTACTTTAAATGATGCTGTATGTGTTGAATGTTCCATAAATATAAGTAATATACTTTATGCTTCTTGGAATGTGAGTTCTATAGAAATAGTGTTGTAGTAGAGCAGTGCTTTTCTTGAATATGTTGGCTGTTGTCTCTATTTTTTTCTTCAGTGCCATATTGCTGGACTATTGCTGAAAAAACTTAACCCACCTCATTATCCCACCTCCATGACACTTCCCAGGATAAATTTCAAGTCTACTATTTTTGATTTCGCAATAAGAGATTCAGGGATAGTAAGCTTTTTCTTTTTCTCACTTTCCATGGGGACATAATTGCCAAAGCCTCACTTATCAGCCATGTGCGAGATATTATATAAAAGATGGAGAAGAGAGTAATAGGAAAAGGCAAGCAGTAGAAGAGGGATTTTATAATTTTATTATGATTTAAATACTATTGTCTCTTTTGGGGGGCAACAAATCCTTTTGAGTGGATTTGGTATATTACCACTGTGTACAACCGTAGAAATAAGGACTGATAGTTAACATTTTCTTCTCAAAAGCAGGGTTTCATGGTATGGTGAAGTAGCATTTAGAGATTTAACGGGACTGTTATTACACTTACAAATGGGAGCAGATTGCTCCAAGACATCACACACAGGGCACTCCCAGCCATTCTTTTCTTTGCTTCCCCCTTCCCCATTCCCTCTAAGCCAGAGCACCTGGTTGTCTTCATTTATGTAAATGCAGGCTCCTATGTATGACAGGGAGGACCTCCTGGTTTCTTGCCCAGCTCTGCTGTTGACATTGACCTGTGTAATCTTGGTCAGAAATCTGAACTCCTTACCTCACTTAATACTTGCTAATACTTGTTACGTAATACTTGCTAAAACCAACACCATCAAAAGTGGGCATCCATGGGGCTGAACAGAGGAAAGGAAAGATGAAAAGAAAACTCACCGTCCTCCATGTATATTGGGAAGGATTTTCTGCAATGCTGGCAGGCATATGCATAGCATCAGCATTTAGTTTGCAGTAAATTGCAATCTGCCCTTTTTTTCTAGAGATGAAAAACTGTCTTCCAGATGATGACCCTTGAAGCATGAGATAGAGGTTGGAAAGGAGATGAGAACCTGTGCTAAAAATGGAAGGATGGAGTAACTTCAAGCTCAGGATTGAGTAGAGTCTATAATATGGGTGCAGTTTTATTCAGGTGTCCCCATAGCTTAATTTAAAGCACTTGGAAGATGTGACGACCAGGAGTAGATAAGGAAAATGCCTAATGTCAATGGGTGAGTGGATGTGAACTTCAGAAAGACTGCTTGGAGCTAGACTCTACTCAAATTAGAGCTCTTAAATGTAGACACTTTGCATTTTCTGTGGCTATGAAGGAGCATTGGGAAATTGCTTGAGGATGAAGAGAAGGGTCACATTATACTGTGGAAGGCAATCATTTATTAGTTCAAAATAAATTCCATGGGTTAAATACTGATTTGAGTTTGTAGAAATGTTGATGGAGCCTGGGAAGTAATGAGGGGTGGGGTGGTGGTGGAGGGGAATGAGTGGGGTCCCCATTTTGAAATGCAAAATGTGTGAAATTCAAAGATCCCTAAGCCAAGTCAAAAGCAATTTCTTTTACTTATGGTACCCATTGACATTAATCAAGCCAGAACATTTTCCTTTAAACCAAAAAATAGCCCTGACAACTGAAGTCAAATTAGCCTCTTGGGAATGGCCTAATTGTTCTTTCGGGAAAGCTGGACACTGGCTTGCCCTTGGCTATGGCATCAGCCCTGGCAAACCTGGGAGGTCTCGCAGACTCTGGCAGGTCCCTTCTTGCCACAGAAACACAAAGGACAGAGGGGTTCAGGAGGTCATAGCCCTCCCTAGTCATCTGCAATGCCTGCCATCCGGAGAATTTTGTGAGTAAATGCTACCCAGATTCCTGCTAAAACTCCATTCACTGTTTATACATTTGATTGCCTGCCTCTTTAGTGACTGGAAATTTCTCACAGCTGCCGGTAGATGGGTGGGTCCACTAACCTTGTCCCCACCTCCATTTTTCTGGCAACTGCTCAAGTTTTCAGGATTGCACTGGTGGTGACAGTGATCCAGATGAGAGCTCCGATTCCACCCTGGTTATTTTTGGCAGCTGTGAGCAATGCAAGGCCTCGACTTTTGGCCTGTGTGGTTGAGATATTGGGTAACCTTTTCCTGTGCAAGTACAGACAAAGGAGAGTCCTATCCTGTGTTCATTCATCCATCGGCCGTTTTTACAGCATTCTTGTTTGTTCGTTTTCTTTAATAAGAGATGGCTCTGGAGAAGCTGAACATTTATTAAGTGTGTATTGTTGTTTCTCCCCCCTAGATTGAAAACATAGATGCCTGCTTGAATTTCCTGGCAGCTAAGGGAATAAACATCCAGGGGCTGTCTGCAGAAGGTGAGTCAGAGCGCTTGTCACGAAGCTGCCTCTTCATTATTAGAAATACCCACCTGTTACTTATGAATGATATTAACACCATTAAGACAAGGGATGTTGGTGGGCTCCTCTGGTTTTGTTTTCCTTTAGGTTGCTCAATGCTTGCCTAGACTTGGGGATGCCAATGTTATCATTCTCCAAAGACTCACTCCAAGAATGTGGATTCAACCATACCAGCCACCTCTGCAAGAGACTGAGGAGTAGTGAAGAGGAAGCGGTCCTATTTGAGAAAGACTGGCCTAAACAATGCTGATTTGGTTCAACTGTCTAGTAATTCAGTTAATTGTCAAGTCAGGCCTTATCTGTGGGAGAGAGCATGCTTCACCACCACATTTCAGCTGTACAGTTCCCAGGGAAAAATGCTTAATCCTTATCTCTCACTTTTATTAGAGAAAGCAGCACTTTTTCTTGCTTTTAAAATAAAAGCATGTGATTTATTAATGCAATGCTATATATTTACATCGTGATTAGTTTTTAATCAACTTAAATTTGGTGGCTAATTAGCACATTAGTGTTCACCAGTATTTTGCTATTAAATTAGTTATTGGTCTGGAGATGGCTGGTCAGAATTCTAAGCCATGTCAGACAACATCTCAGCCTGAAACTTTCACACTGTGTCCTGTTTGTAAATACAAGCAGCTGCCAGCTCAGAGCTGCCATAGGCCCAGGCATCTTCCCAAGCTCATTAGGCTGCACCTGCCTCCAGTTTTCCCAGAACAGGTAAAGCAGTTTGGTCTTCAGATGATAGTGCCTTTCCCTAGCAAGATTGCTTTTTGAAAGGATGCCTGTTAGCATGGACTCTGGTGGTCAGGGTGGGGCAGAGGAGAACAATGAGAAAGGAATCAGCCAAATGGAGCAGGTAAGTTTGCAAGCATGATGGATTCCATCTGGGACCTGTTTCTTGCCTTTGCTCTGCTACATGGTGAAAGCTTGGTTTTCCTGGCTGCGTTTCTGAGTGGTAGTTTCTTCTGGTATTGGGGGTGGGTGGTATAAATGGGCACTATTAGTGTCTCCTGGGTGTGTTGTGTCATTCCCTAATTGGGAACTCTGATGTGTTGGACGTGTCCCCAGTCAGGCATGGCCACACTACTTCCAGAGATGACAGTAGCAGTTGTAGTCAGTCCTAATCCCAGAGGATTCCCCAGCTCTGGGGTACGGACCTTCATCCATGGGGATGAGATCAGGGCTGACTGACATGTGGAATATGCTTTTCTTGGGGGTGGGGGTTTGATGGGAGTAGGGAGGTGCAGATTCCCGTTCAGAGGAGCGCATGATTTCCTCCTGGTAGAGAGTTCTTGTGCCAGCTGGTAGGTGACAGGGCTGCTCCTCCTAGTTTCTGGGAGTGATTAGACTCCTGGAACAGGCCTGTGTCTCCCAGCAGAGCACCAGCAGGGACTTTTACAGAAGTGTACTTGGCAGCAGGGCCTCTTGGGTATGCAGACTCTGCAGGCTTGCTTCATCCTGCCTGGCTAGGAGTGACCCCTGGCCACTCAGCCATCTACCCGTTGTCCTGACTTCTTCTTCATTTGCTCTCTCCATCTGCCCCATTCTCTCTGTACCCCAAAGTGTAGAGAATCTGTGCAGTAAGTATTTGTTGAGTGAACAAGTACCAGCTGTACTTTGAAAGATCTTATCTGTTTTGGCTTCAGTTCTCACAACTAAATTTGGAGTTTATAACAACCTCAGTTTACAGATGAAGAAACTTTGGCTTAAAGAGGTTATGAGTGGCATCCCTGAAGCATGTAGCTGGAAAGTGGCAGAGCCAGGATTTGCACCCAGTTCTGTATGATTTCAGAGCTCATGATCATGGCATCTTCTGGGACAGCAGGTGGATAAAATCTAGGCATGCCATGTAAAGGTAAAAGAAATGAGATTTAGAACTCTTTGTTATCTGGAACATTGTTTCAGAAGATGTTACAGCCCATGGAGGCACATCATGCAGAGAGACACTCAGCTCTCTGCCCCTTTTCAACACTGAGATGACCCTTGGAGGCTCTGCGCATGGAAGAGAATACCACAGCCAGTGTGCTGTGGTATCAAGCCATTGTGGTATAACCATGAAGGAGTTTTATGGTATTTCAATAACTGCTTTAACTGTGCTATGTTAAACCCCCATCCTTCCTGCTGGGTCAAGACTCACTTAATGATATTTTGGCCAGAATGCATAATTCTTTAGTCATCTTTGAGTTAGTACAATTATTTTATGCCCATATTTATGACTCAGTCATGTTCATTTTTAAACATCAATCTCAGGCTCTACTCAAAGCTCTTTACCCACGCTCCCTCCAGTGCAAATGGCTTTGGGAGTTTGAAGAGAGATGGGGGCATGGCAGCTAGACTTTCTCTCCTTTCCTCTTCCCGTATTCTTGTACCTGATCCCCCAGGATTGAGGCAGCACCAAGGAGGCAGAGTTCTGCTTCTGGGGCAGGTGCTGTCCTCCTCAGTGACATCACTGCTACTGTCTTACCTGGTAGTCTCAGCAGGCCCTGCTGACCAGGACTTGGTCCAATGCACCTCCCGGGGCACTGGTGGTCTTCTGTGAGATTTGGCCAGATTTTTCACCTCAGGACTAGCAGGAACGTGTGGGCTCCATTTTCCACTTGCAGTGGGTGGAACTGCAGGGCCTCCTGTCACCTGGCAGCAGTCCCCCACCAGACAGTCTCTCTCTGTTTCTTTTCCTTACTCAGGTGGCCAAGGGGCAGATCAGCCAAGTCTCTGCTAAGCGAATTTCCAATTTGGGACTCGAATGCTGGACCCGCCTTCTTGCCCGCACCCCCCACTTTGAGCAATTCTCAGAGCTACCACTCCCTTGACTTCAAGGGGCCCAAGGACTCTGCTGCCTTGCCTCCTTGGTGAAGGGAAGGAAATACGCTTTCTCCATCAAACATTGTCTCCCCAAAATGACATTCTGTCATCTAGATCTTCTTATATTAATGTTTTGGAGGATGGGGAGTGATGATATTAGTGGTGAGACTGATTGTGAACTGCTGCAGTCCTTTGGGAAAGTGGCCCCAGTGTCTGTCACATCCTCGAACTTATAAAAAGCAAGGGAACTTAGAGCCTTTTAGCCTCAAATTGGGCCTTTTCCACAATTTCAGGGTACAGGCAATATCTCATTTGACATGTTAAATGATGGGAATAGATTTATTGAGAGCTTACCACATGTCAGTCACTGAGCTAAGTGCTGTGCATATTTATATTTTACTTAGTACTCCCAGCAGCCTTTTGGGTTCAGTATTAGTATTATCCCCATCATACAGATGAGCAAACCAAGGTTCAAAGAGATTAAGCTGCACATTAAAAAAAGGAGGCCCACAAGGTCAGTAGTGGCTAAGCTACCTGCATCTGCTGATTCAAAGGCCTGGTGTTTGCTACTGCACACCACTGCCTATGTTTATATCCACCTGCAAACTACTAGAAAAGCAGTGTGGTGTATTAAACAGTAATGTAGATTTAATGCTTTTTGTTTTCCTTTTGAAGATGACTGAGTGCCCTGAGGCTCCTTCTCTGATGAAAAAAACATCAGCGGTTAGAAAGCCCCATAGATACATCTCCACCCTTTCCCAGTGACTAAAGCTGGGTTTGCACTCCGGAGGGTGTATGCACCTGTCCTCAAAGCATTTCAGCAGCTCAGGCCTGCCCCGACCTGCCTACTAGAGAGCCATAGGGAGCCTTTGTTCCAGGGCATAGACGGCGGATGCTTGGGGGCAGAGGCTGCAGGCCTGAGTGAGCCCCATGGAGGTGCTGCTGGTTTGGGGAACTTCCCTGGACTAGGCCTCTCTGCCCTGTCAGTGTTCCTGAAGATTGAACCCATCTAGTTGCTCTTGGAGACTTGCCAGAGTCCTGTGAGCTTGGGCCTCCCTTTGCCTTGGGATGATGATCAAGAACCCCCACCAACCCTTCCCCAGAACATACCACCTGTCACAGCCATCTGTAAGCCTGCCCCTATGAGGAAGGATGGCCTTTGTCTCTGGCCATTCTGAGAACACCTGGGGTTTGTGCTATCTGGCCCTGAGCCCATCTCCTGCAATGGAGAAGCGGAGGTTGGGGAGTAAGGCACATTCTGTCTAGTTCAGCAAGCGTTTTCTGGGCACATTTCATATGCCAGGGACAGTGCTAGGTACTGGGGTACACCAGTGATCAAGTCAGTCATATTAAACTAACCTTGATTCCAGTTAATAAGAGAGAGCTGTGTTAGTGGTAAGCACAGGATCCAGTGGTGACCAAAAGAAAGCAAATCAACTTTTCCTGGGGCTCTCAGTGGAGCTACATGGAGATGGTGATGTTTCCCTCCAGGGTTTCATGGGATGAGTAGACATTTGCCAGACAGGAAAGGAAGCTGAAAGGAAATGTAGACAGAAGATCAGGCATAGATAATATTAATATGGTGGGGGCAACCTTGCAGATGTTGGATCAACAGAAGTAGGAACATCCTTCCAGGTGGAAGCAGTGTATGCTTTGAAGTGAAACCAGTTGCTGATTTGATTAGCTCAATCCTGGGTTTGCTGCCCTGATGGCCAGAGAGCTAGGTACTGAGTTTGTTCCTTTCATCCCAAGCTGAAAAGTAGGAGGTCTTTCTGGACCTTAGGGTGAAAGCAGCAGATGGAATGTTTCCATTTCCTCCTACCTGTATCACCTGAGTATGGCATTGACTGGGACCTGCAGTTTCTGTTTCTTAGCAGAAGGGGTCCGATAGGCTCTGCTCCCACCCTATCATCCCACTTCTCCTATGGGTAGAGTCATTGGCAGGCTTGGCGAGCAGCAAGACCACAGAGAGCTGACAAGTGGTGGGCAAGTTAAGTGGTGAATGCCGGTTATGCAGTTGCCCCAGCTGCAGGGACAATGCTGCAGAATCTATAGCCGTCGATCAGCTGGGTGAGCGTCACACAAGGCTCACGGGAATTGGAGTTCTGCAGCTTTGTAGTCTGCATAGCCCTCCCTTTGGCTTTGAATCCCTTATACCCTACAAAGCAGGTTTCTTTGTATTAGATTATTTCGGCACTTGTGCCATTGTAAACCAAGCCTAAAGTTTCTCTTTAAAAATGTCGAAATAAAATAATTCCTATTTATCTTACTCTTCATGCCTGACATGACCCACAGGATCTATACAGACTAGGGCCAGCCAATAGGAAGAAAGTGATTAGATCCCAGAGAAAGTGGAGTCAAGGCGCTACTATTCAAATGGAAATGGGAATATGAGAATATGGCCCATGCAGTTTGCTTTTCGGTTGCCACAAGAGTGGCCACAGGAAGAAAAATAACAGGGCTCCAGTTCTGGTTTAGCCACAGCTGGCTAGTGTCTCCTCGGGCAACTGTATATCAGTTCTCTCTTGATATACACGTTTTTCCTTCTCTAGAAGTCCAGAGGGTGAGATTAATCAGCTACAAAATAATAACTCCCTTTCCAAAGCCTTGAGGAATGGCATGAGGGAAACATTCTTGTGGGGCTTTGGGTTTTTTTTTTTTAGGCTTCCTGTGGAGCTGGCTTATCAAGCCTCACGAAACACAGACAAATACCATTTGGAAATATGGAAAGAATATAATTCTAGCTATTTTGGATAATGTCTGTTATAGACCACCCATGGCAGAAACTGTGTGGCTGTCAGCACATTCGGCATGCTGGAGTTTTTGTAATCTGAAAAGAAAATTAAATAGTTATAATGTCCATCAATTGGTGCCTAGATAAACAAAATATGGTGTATCTAAATGATGGGACTGTAAAGACTGACAAATGCTCTAACATGGATGAACCTTGAAACATTATGTTAAGTAAAAGAAGCCAGATGCAGGCTGGGCACAGTGGTTCACGCCTGTAATCCCAGCACTTTGGGTGGCTGAGTTGGGCAGATCACCTGAGGTCAGGAGTTCGAGACCAGCCTGGCCAAGGTGGCGAAATGCTATCTCTACTGAAAATACAAAATTAGGAGAGAGATCCAAGATGGCTGATTACTAGCAGCTCAGGATTGTAGCTCCCAGTGAAAGTGCAGAGAACGAGAGGACGCCACACTTTCAGACGAATTTTTGTTGCTAACGGACCAGGAGATTCCCAGTGGAGGAGCCCCATGTGTCGCCAGTGTGACTCTTGTGGCCGGCGCGGTGGTTCTTGGTGCAGAGTAAACGGGACTGGGTTCCCTTTTGGTCGAAGTTTGGAGCTCTGGGAAGGCAGAGTTGCCTATTCAGCTGATTGAAAAAGGGACTCAAGAAGGAAGCCAGACCAAAGATTCCCAGGCAGAAAAGCACCACGAATCTTAACCCTGCTGTTTTAGCCAGCGCAGTGGGTTGCTCAGATTCCAGCGCTGGGAATCAACAAGTTGGACGTCCACTCAGAGACCTAATTTGAAAGTCAGTAATTACAAAGACAACAGGTGGATAAATTTACAATGATGGGAAGAAAGCAGCATAAAAAGGCTGAGAATACTCAAAATCAGAATGCCTCTCCCTCTACAGAGGATCACAGTTCTTCATCAACAAGGGAACAAGGCCTGATGGAGAACGAGTGCGTTCCAATAACAGAATTAGGCTTCAGAAGGTGGATAATAAAAAACTTCTGTGAGTTTTTACCTCAATAAAACTGCTTTAAAAACCAGAAAGATTACCATTGAATTTTCTGTAATGTTGGATCATTCATGATTTTCCTTTCTGGACACCAGTGACTGTGGCATACAGGGGATGAGCAGAGAGAATGGACCATTTCTTAGGCTTCCTTTGGGTGAAGAGCTCTGTAGTGGGTTCTAAGTAGGCTGCAGATAGAATGGCCACATTTTCTCAGCCAAAAAGGGAAGAACAGGGTCAATCAGTATCCTAGATGTACTCATTTTCTCATTTTATCTTCAATTAATTCCCATAACAATCCTATAGGAAAGGTACAGTAGGACATATGCCCATTTTAAAGAAGAAAACTGAGGCTCAGAGAGATTGAATCCTGTAAAATCTCAAAGTGTATAAATGATGGACTGTAGAGATTTAACCACAAGTTTTTCTTGCTTAAAAATGAAAGATCTTTGATATAAAAATGCTGCCTCCTAAGAGGAAGTATATTTATTGGAGGAGTACTATAGTCTCTGACCAATGAACAAATGTTTTAGAGAACTGTGGCCATTCTGAGCAGTAAATGACTAATGACCACGGTAGGAAGAGAATGTAAGACTGGCTTCATTTGTCTGTAGTAGGATTGGGCTGGTAGGTTATGGAGGGTGCTGTTGTGAACGTGCCTACTTTTTGTTTTTGCAATGGACAACCCCTAACTCCCTAGGTATGCTGAATAGTTAGTTTCTCTCCTCTTGTCTTTTCTTGCATGGTTAAGAAAAATGCATTATGGAATGCTTGAAATCCCAGAAAAATCAAGAATACTTAAATGCCCACCAGCTAGCTTAATAAAACATGATGGGTATACAAGTAAGGTTATACAGTACTAGGAAACTGGACCCTGAGTCAGAAAACCTAGATTCAAATCCCAGCTCCAGTGTTTATTACCTTAGAGAAGTCATAAAACCTTTCTGAGTTTGTTTTCCCCTTATGTGAAAGAGGGATAATGCTACTCACTTCCCGTGTTTTAAGGATTAAATGAGATCATGCATTTGAAGAGCTTAGCCTGATACACACTGGTTAATAGTAGCTCTTATTGTTATAAACTATATGACCTGATAACTGTACAAGGCACTAAAAATAAATCTTACATAGATTTCTCCCGCCTCCTACCTCCATAATTAGCAGTACTTTCTCCAGTGAATTCAGTTTTGAGGGGAAATTGTTTTCTTAAGCTTAATAGGCACTAACATGCATGTCAGCCCTTGATTGGCTTATCTTGATATTTGTCCCTAGCTCTTGTCACTGCTCAGTTGGGCAACTATCGATATGTCACTTCACTTTGTGGGCCTTTGTTTTCCCATAAGTAAAGTGAGTAGCCAACTGACTTATTTCATCCAAGCCTCACACTCTAACTCTCATGTATCACTGAGAACATTTGGAAGCAGAAGTGGAACATGCCACAGGTATGTGCCTCTCCTTTGGTTTCCTTACTGTGGAGAAGGAAGCATGGCTGAAGGGTTCAAGCTGAATTACCAAAAGAGACTGAGGGGCTGGCCTACTCCTTGAACCTTTCTCTGCTGCACACATCACACAGAGTGGTTAATAAGCAGTCGTTTTGCATCCTGACTTGTCCACATCAGTCCTGGCTACCAACTGTGGTCCTGATATAATTAAGAACTCTTGGCTCCCTCGCTTTCATTCTCAAAAGTATCATAGTTAGCACAGTAGATTAAAAGGTCACCATAGTAAAAACTGTCATTTTTAAGGTATGAAGCTGGAGCTGTATGAGAATCACATTCGGTATTCGGGGGCTATAGTCATATTGGTTATTACCAAGGCAAGTGAAGGACTTCACTGTTTAAAGAGTGCTTTTACCCAAATGTTCTCATTTGTTCTGCAAAACAACCTTGTGCAATGGGGCAGAGTGGTGTCAGTATTGCCCTTTAACTGAGGACCAGAGAGATTAAGTGACTTGTCTGGGATTGCACAGCTAGTAAGTGATAAGAATATAGATTGGAACTCACGGCTTAGGTTTTCCAAATGCTATGCTCTTGTCTACTTTGTCCCATGATCAGAATCTGTTAGCTTCCAAAGTAGGGTATGAAGACTGGATTCTAGAGGTTTGTATGTCAGTTTCTTCAGAGCCTGGAGATAGGGATGCTCCAAGAGGAAGTAATTCAGCCTGACCTTATCAGCAAATCACACCAGGGGAAGGCACTGGCAGGGCACCCTTCCTCCTCTGCATGGAATGGAGCTTGCTTCTGAAAGGACTCCATTCATACCTTCTGCCTCTCAACTGGGCTTTAGAGGAAACTTGTTTTCCTCCACTAGCAGCCTATTTCCCAGCCCAGGGCTAACCTGTTAAGTATGCATTACCTACCCCTCTAACAAGGCCTTTGAAGATTTTTTTGCTTCCCATCTGTCTTTCCCCCCTTCTTAGTTAAGAAAAACTCATTCTAGGGTGATAGAAAAGCAGAGAAGGCCAAGTATGTTTGCCCCCAAGGTTCCTTCTCCTCTGTCCCTCTAGGTGGCCCTAGAACTTTACTCTCATGGGCTGCTCAGACTCTGGCCATCTGCATCTAGTATTAACTGAATAGAAAGGAGGGATCATCCAAGGAGAAGCCCCTCATGAGCTGTAGCCTTTGCCTATGAATAAATATTTTATTCTCCATGCAACTCTTTATGCATGCCTTGAGGCAAATGCATTTTAACATTGAAAAATACTGTCTGGAGTAAAAACAAAAATTGATTCCCATTCTGTTCTAATTTCTTTTAATGTAGGGAATATCTTGTGTGAGTCCATTATGGAAGCAAGTGCTTATAGCCTATTATTTATTCCGCAGATGAGAGACACAGAGCCACATATTTGAGAGTAGGATGACTGGGGAAAGCAGAGCATGGGTCATGGAGTGGGACAGCAGCCACTTGGCACACTCAGTGTGGCTTGAAGCTTAGAACATGGACTTGGCAAAAGCCAAGTGCAGTGTGAGGACCCAGGAGCTTCCCCCAGTGCCAGAGTGCCTCCGTCCTCCGCCTGTGTAACAAGCACAGTCTTGCTGGAGACGCTTGCTTTTTCAGTGGTGTCCTTACTGAGAATTTCCTCTTGGCACCTACCAGACATCCAGTTGCAACTTGCCTCGTGTATCTACTCTAATACTAATGGTGAGAATAAGCTAATTTCTTTGTGGTTTAGGCCTGATTTTAGTTGACTGTGATACCAATGAAGTGTTCGAGAAGCCTGTTATCCTAAAGAAATTAAACTCACTTGCAGGCTGAAACAGCCCATTGAACAGGAAGAAGAGCTCCCCATCTGACAAGAATCTCTTTATTGTCTTGCAGAGATCAGGAATGGAAACCTCAAGGCCATTCTAGGCCTCTTCTTCAGCCTCTCCCGATACAAGCAGCAGCAGCAGCAGCCCCAGAAGCAGCACCTCTCCTCACCTCTGCCGCCCGCTGTGTCCCAGGTGGCCGGGGCCCCCTCCCAGTGCCAGGCTGGCACGCCTCAGCAGCAGGTGCCAGCCGCTCCTCAAGCCCCGTGCCAGCCTCACCAACCCGCGCCACATCAGCAGTCAAAAGCACAAGCTGAAATGCAGTCCAGGTGGGGCTCCTTGCCAACTGATGGTTTTGATTTTTAGGCACCTGCCTCCACCCAGACCAATCTCTAGGCTATCCTGTATGGGTTGTTCATTTGCGCTTCTTCAGTGCTGAGAGCTGTTGGTGGTTAGTGGGAGTTAGCATGGCCTTGAAATGGATGCAGTGAAGAGCCCTTCTTTTGTCTGGCAGAGATGTATACTTTTATAGGTCAGAATTTCCAGAAGCCAAAGCTAATTAGCTGCTCCTGCTATTTCTCTGGCCTATTATACACATGCTTATAGGCAATAAACAGCCCCTGAAATAGACTTCAAACCCCTTTTGTGTGTTTGCCTACAAGCCGAATGTTCAATGTTATACATGAGAGTAGTTTTACTTAGTGGAGGTAAAAGTTCTAGTCCATTGGATGCCTCTCCTTTGCCGATACAGAAATATAGAAGGCACTGAAAAAAGGCAGCAAGGGAAGGAGGCAGCCATCTATCTGAGCAGGGCAGCATTGCCTAATGGGAGTGATTACCATTAAATGTGACTGTGTTGTGTCGAGCTAAGATGGGAAGAGTCTCACCATGCAGGAGTGATCTGCAGGGTTAGGGCCTGGATTTTGTTCCCAGAGAGACATGTTTGCCAGTCAAATTCACCAGGTACAAGCCGATTGCCACTGTGGTTACCATCTACTGTGCTACAATGGAAATAGTTGCATGTCTAAACAACTCTACAAAATAGCACCCTGTAAAACTTTTGTCTGCGTGGCAGAAAAAACAGGAAGATTTTAGAAACTAGAAGGTTTTTGACTCGAGGTCAAGTTCTGCAGAAAAGTTCATATTGTTTTCTTTTAAGCCAGAAGTATTCATCCATAAACCCTAAATGTCACTGATCAGATTGATTGCTTGAATTCATCCAGTGTGTGCTGAAGAGTAATGGCCTTTTCTTTCCATTCCCCCAAAGCACCAGAATTAATAATGGTAAGGCTTCTCACACACCTTGATATACCTTTTATTACTCATTGTAGCTGGGCAGAGCACAAAGCTGCTCAAACACAGCTGTTGCCTTATAGACAGTTACAGCCTTCTTTTTTTCTCATGAGTAGTTCTGTTTCCCAATTGTAATGGTGTTAAAACCAGCAGTGATGGGTGCAATGTAAATCAGGCCCCCTAATTAATTATTTAATTATATCCAGTTTGCATTATGGAAATTTATGGGATGGGAGAGATGCCTGGACTAGCAATGAGGAACAGATAGCCTAGCAGCCAGTTGCTAACCCCTTCCCTGGAGAACTGCCTGAGTGGGAGTCACTCCTCCCAGTCAGAGCTTCCCTGATGGACATGGATGATTTAAATGATCAGGCGTCATTTCCCAAACTGCATTCTGCAGAGTGCTTATTCCCTGGGATGTTAACTTGGGTCATAGTGCAAGAGATGAGTTGTATGGGGGAAAAAATTGGGAGATAATTTGAGTTAAATTGTTATATGGCTGTTATTGTAGGTCTACTCAGATCCTTGAACCTGCCAATATGCATCTCTTTATTTAATTGGTATTAAGCCTCCCATGTGCCAGGTCCTGGTCTAGGCCTTTGGGAGTCAAAAATGAATGGGATTGCCATGATGCCTGCTCTCTCATGCTCCTAGAGGAGACAGGCACAGAAGCACATGAACAGGAAAGGAGGCTATCAGATAGTGATCAGTACTATAATAAGGTGGTGGGATTCAGAGGGGCTGGGTTGCTAATTTAGATTTGGTTGATAGAAAATCTCTCTTGGGACATGAAAAGTAAGCTTGATGTGTTAGAAGAGCATAAACAAGGCTATTACAGCTTAGTAGGGGAGGAGAGGGACCAGTGATAAGGTAGTTTGGAAGGAGAGAGGGCTGCTACCATTTATGTGGATGACAGCAAGACCTGTGGTCCCTGGAGTTGTGCATTGCTATGGCACTCAGGACCTGTCATAGAGTACCAGCTAAACTGGTTAGGGTTTGGACTCCATTCTAAGGGTGACAGGAAGCCATGGGAAGGTCTTAAAGTAGTAGAAAGAGTTGATCTGATTGGCAGTTTTAAAAATTCACCTTTGCGTCTCTTTGGAGAATGAGATTGTGGAAGACAAGAATGGAAGGAAGTACCCAGTTGAGAGGACTTTGCAATACTATAGATGAGTTGTGTCGAGGTAACAGAAGCAGAAATGGAGATGGACCAATCCTTAGGGAGTTCGGCTAAGAGGCCTGCAAACAGATTAACTCTCTGGAGTGATGGAAAGAAAAATAACAGATAAAGCCTAGATTCCTGGTTTGAACAGTTAAGTAACTGGTGGTGGTATTCTTTGAGATGTGGAAGCCCAGGAGAGCAGGTATGCATTATGGATCTTCAGACAGGTGGTGACACAGAAAGGAGCATTCTACAAACTTGGCAACAGCATTCCTCTTATTTTATAGAGCCTTTCACTCTAAGGAATGTGTATTAAGAAATACTGGCTTGTGTTACTGAGCTTTGCTGGCCTGAGGCATCCATTTCCATAGTAGGTGTTTGTTTTCTTAAAATAACCAGATATTCCAGTCAGAGCCCCCATGTCCGGGTAAGCCAAAACATCCTACTAATGATGAGTGCTTTACCTGAAGAAGAGCCAAACTTACTTGAGTCAGATTTTTACATTCATTTATTCCAGCCACAGTGTCCTGCCATTATGGTCCCCTGACCCTACAGTGGTGACACGGACTGGGCTTTGGAGTTGCTGTATATCCTCACTCACCCCTTCATCTTACCCAGATTGGGTTACTCATGCAGGAGGCTCGTTTTATTCACTGGATCCTGATACTTTCTAGTTTTACTTCCAAAGAATAATCTTGTTCTCAAGGTCTAGGGATATGCTATTCCCACACCAACACTCTGGCTATAAATTTAAGAATCATAAAATTACATCAGTGGCTCAGTCTCCAAATTCTATCTTTGATAAGCAAAATTCCAAGGGCTGTGGTTTGGACCCTTGATTATTAATGTCAAATGTTGATGCAAACCCCCACATGCCAGGTTTGTTTTGTTTTTCTGTTAGAACTCTACCTAAAAACTGTTTTGAAACTGTCAAGGTTTCTACCCCTGAAGGGTAGAAAGCACTAAAACTTCGACAACTTTCCATGAAGTTTGCTAGTAAAGGAGTTATGGAAGTTGGCAAAGAAAAATCTGAGACACTGGCTTGAAGGAATCAGAGCAAATCCTCCATGACAGCCTCATAGAGGTTTACTTCGCTTCTTTGCTTCAGCTAATCTCACAACTGAGATGGTGGCCAAGAACTTAATTCACATTTCACCCTGTGAAATTCTTCCTTGGTCCAGAGTCCAGGAGAGGAGCATAGTCTCCAGGACTTGCTTTTTTCTCCATCTGTTTCTACACAGATAATCAGTGTTCAGTTACTAAGGAATAATCCAGAAAATGACTTTATTTTTTTCTCCATTCTCCTCTCTCTCTTCACTAAGACTGGTAAAACCAACAAATTATTGATCAGCTCAGATCCTTTTACGAACATGATACAGGATGTATAGAAGCAAGGAAGATAAAGATTTCTATCGTTTGAGCAGTAAATAAGTTTAACTTTTTCCTTTATTAAGCCTAACTAAAATTTTTCATATGTACCAATTTATAGTACAAGAAAAACAAAATCTATTGAGTTTAACAAGCATTAAATGGTCATTTCTAAAGCATTAAAAGCAAAAATTCCCAAGACCAGCAACATCTGGGTATAGATTTGCAAAAATCTAGCCCCTTGTTTTTGGTCACCTTTATGGGATACTGAGGATATTCATCTGAAAAGATCCAAGTAGAACAAGCATGTGAAATAGAAACATCTCAGTACTTTAGAAAGGAATAAAGTTTATTGACTTGTTAGGGACCCCATGCCTTAAGGCCTTATTTTGAGAATAAGGCCTTAATACAAGAAAGACATTTAATGTTTAAAGAAACACACACAGGCATACATACCCACAAGCATTCTTAGATAATCTTAAAAGCAGTTTCTTCACATTGGAAATCTATCAAATGAGTAAAGTGAGACCTAGAAAGAAAGCTGCATGTCATAGAAAACAGTGGGCGGTGAGAAAACACAGCAGCATCCCCATTGTCAGAAGACTCTTAGGATTTGTGTGTCTAATGTATCTTCTCTCTCCTCACTCAGCTCTTCCACTTTTTTCTTTCCTGTCATGCAGTGCATCATCCAAGGACTCATCTCAAAGCAAAATCATCCGCTTCACTCTGGGTCAGAAAAAGATATCTAGGTTAGACTTTCTCTGTGTCCTGCAAAGCATGGTTTAATCCCAACCCACTGTTCCATTGTTCCCTCTGCTCTGGCTGAGTTTCCCTTTGATCCTCTCCCCATTTCATGTTTGCAGTTCCAGAAAACTAAACGTGCTTTGGCTCATGGTCCGATGGGGCAGAGTTTCGAAAGTGACCATGGGATTGTTGCCAGTGTGTGCGGGGGGAGTGACAGAGTGCAAGTGAGATTGAGGTGTACATGACGTTTTGCATTTTCTTGACTTTTGGCTTTGACGGCTTTGTCATCAAGATCCATTCTGATTTAGGTAAAGGTGAGTTTCTAGATAGTTGTTTGTTTTTTTTTTGAGTTGGAGTTTCGCTCTTGTTACCCAAGCTGGAGTGCAATGGCACAATCTCGGCTCACTGCAACCTCCGCCTCCTGGGTTCAGGCAATTCTCCTGCCTCAGCCTCCCGAGTAGTTGGGATTACAGGCATGCACCACCGTGCCCAGCTAATTTTTTTGTATTTTTAGTAGAGACGGGGTTTCACCATGTTGACCAGGATGGTCTCGATCTCTTGACCTCGTGATCCACCAGCCTCGGCCTCCCAAAGTGCTGGGATTACAGGCGTGAGCCACTGCGCCCGGCCTCTAGATAGTTTTTATAGTGGTTTTATGATGAGTTTCTCCCTGCTTCATCGTGGCCCTAATCCTACCTCACCTGCATCTCATTTATGTGTACTGTGCTTTATGTTGTTGCTAAAATTACTAATGTGGGTTTGGTTTACTCTTGAGTTATAAAGACCTGAGCATGAATCCATGTTGGGCAGAGGACACAATTCAGCAAGGCAGTTATGTCTCATTTTGTTTCTGGATGCTTTTAGGTGCCATAGAGACTGCCTCCATTCCCTGAAAAATAGAAAATAGTCTTGCTGATGAGCTAGTTAATCTTAATTCAGACTTTGACCTGTCGGCTGCCTCCTATGAGGACCCATTCTATGGTATGAGAAAAGCCAGTTACACCACATTGCATCATTATATCTACTGTTATTTTAAAAGTATCAACAGCTAACATTTATTGAATGCACAAGTTCAAATGTGTCATCTTATATAATCACTCCAGGCCTCATGAGGTAGGTCATATTATTATCCCCATTTCACAGATGAGGAAACTAATATTTAGGAAGTTAGGTCATTGTGCCCAGGGTCACACACATAAAAAAGTGGATGAACCAGGATTTGAACACAGGTGGTCTAACTCAGAACCCTAACTATAACCACAGTGCTACACTCCTCCCCCTCCTTCAATTCTGGTATCTCTGTGGTTGTTGAGGCTGTTTTTTAATATCTTATGTTTCAACCACTACTCTTGGTTTTTTCTCTCACACTGCCCTTGTAGCATCCTAACAGAAATTGCTGCTGGGGTAGAATCTCCTCCTTATTATGACTGGTATTTATTTTTCATTGAATTATTATTTAAGGGGATGGGAAATCCATACTCATATCTGTCTTTATTTATCACAAATACATCCTGAATAACTGCTTGCTTGCTGCCCCATGTGTTAGGGACCTCTAGGTGCCTTTCCTAGCCAGAGTTTTCTTTTCTCTTTCTTCTTTCCTGAGACAGGGTCTTGCTCGCTCTGTCGCCCAGGCTGGAGTGCAGTGACATGGACATGGCTCACTGCAGCCTTGACTTCCTAGGCTCAAGCAATCCTCCCATATATCTAGGACTACAGGCACATGCCTCCATACCCAGCTAATTTTTTTTTGGTAGAGGTGGGATCTCCTAATGTTACCCAGGCTGGTCTCCAACTCCTGGGCTCAAGCAATCCTCCCATATATCTAGGAATACAGGCACATGCCTCCACACCCAGCTAATTTTTTTTTTTTTTGTAGAGCTGGGGTCTCCTAATGTTACCCAGTCTGGTCTCCAACTCCTGGGCTCAAGCAATCCTCCTGCCTTGGCCTCCCAGGGCCCTGGGATTACAGGTGTGAGCCACTGCTTCACCTAGCCTAGAGTTTGGTTTTTTAAAGTGCTTACACTTAGGGAGACCCAGTTCAGGCTCTGCCTGGCTGGTGAGGGAAAAACCATTTAGCAGTGTGCTTCTCCATAGAGCAAGTCAGCACATTACCCAGACTCGGTGGAGGGGGACGAGAGGGAACCTAGTTTGTCACTGCTTCTGGTAGCCATGGAGAAAGTAGCTGCTTTCCCTGACAAAGAACACCAAGCTCAAGTCAGAACAGACACCCACTGCTCCAGCAAACTGGTCCTTCCCCAGTTAAATTGAATGCTACACAAATGCACGTACATAGGAAAGGAAAGGGGAGGGATGAGCTGGAAGGAAACGTGAAATCTAGTGCCTGTTCCCACGATGTGCTCAGTCCTGTAGGGTAGAGAAAACAGGAGCTAGCTGGGGAAACATCTAATTGGAAGCACATGCCCATCCCGTGAATGATTTCTTATCAGACCCAGATGATGGAAGGAGGCAGTGGGAAGAGAGGAAGCACTGGAAAATGAGGGCGTGTCAACCCTGCCCTGAGGCTGGGCTGGGCACAGTGCTTCTGGGTTTACCCTGAGCCATGATGTGGCTTTCCCTTAGTGTCATATCCCCCACTTAAGGTTTCTTTGGGATGCATTTTTGTCTCTGCCAAGGCCAATGAAGGGATGGTTCCTTGTTTCAAATGAAGCCTTTGAAGGCTCTTCCTTGCCTTCTCTACATCCCTGTTTCTGCACCACCAGCCTTGAGCAGGATCCTGTGAAGAATTTTAGCTGATCAGACACCACTAAGCGCAGCAATAAAGTTTGGTTGCCAAAAGAAGCAGCGCTATCCCTTCTGGCAGAGTGAGCCACCTCCCCCAGAGCTCTGGAAATAGGTCTCTTTTTGGAGACCAAACACTGATGGAACACCTGCCAGCGCCCAGCACCTTGATGGGCACCAGGGGTATTGAGAAGGATGAGAAGCCTCACCTTGAATCTGGATGTGGGGAAGGGGTGTATGAAGGCAGTTGATACAAGGGTGAAAGCTCTCCGTTTATTTCTGCCTTTGACCACTCTTATTGCCGCCTGACCTCCCTGGTGAGCCCAGGGAGGCTTATTTTACCTGCAGGAGGCAGAGAAACATTGTGGCTAAGAGGTGCTGTTAAACCTAAGTGAAGGCCCATTCTTACCACTTACTGTTGGTGTTACCTGGGCAAATCATTTGATCACTATGAGCTGGGTTTCCTTGTTGGTCAAATGGGGTAATCTTGCCTTGCTCACAGCATTACGAGGCTTAAATAAAGTCATTTAATTAATAATTATAAATAATAATGAATTAATAAAGTCATTCCTTAGCACCTGACATATAATCAGTGCAGATATGGCAGTGTTGGTATTTTGGGTTCATCTGGGCTAGGTGAGGCAACCAGGCTGCCTCTAGAAAGTCCCATAGAATTGATCTGTATGCAATTATCCTGTGGAAAAGAGGCAGTAGGCTTAGTAGTTTGGTCGTCTCTGCCCAGCTGCTGGGCTGAAAAACAGATGCCATGGAAATTAGAGATTTAGTATTTAATCATCTTGCCCGGCAAAAAGCATCTCTGATTATGACCACTCCCCGCAAACCCCTGCATGTGCACACAAGCTGCCATCCTTCCTGGGAGGGGCCATCCTCTGCTCCCAGCCTTTGAAGTGGTTTTAGGGGAAATAACTGCTCTCCCCCCCCGCATCGGCACGCACATCACATGGAGCAGAGGAGCTGGGATGCACTCATAGGTTACATGCTGGGAATGACAATTTTACCGCCCTCCTTACTTGGCTCTGCACACATAGGAGAAATTGACCATGGCTCTAACGACAGCAGGATTGTTTCCCCAACTCTTACACAACGTCCCTTAAGCTTAATATTTTAAAAACCCAACATGTATATGTTTCAAAGAACCCATCTGTGTTCTCTGTTATTTGTAACTGTGTTTGGACCTAGGGTGATTATGAGAGGTCAAGTTCCTCTTGGGAAGGAGCTGTTGGAACTTCCTGGTGCTATGAGGGAGCAGGGTTGACCTGCCATGCTCCCCTCTCCCTGCGCTGCCTCAGTGAGACAGGCCCAGCAGGCCGCATCTGTTGTGATACCTGCAGCTGTTCCACAGGAGCCAAGACCTAGCTCTTCAGCAAACAGGGATTCTAATGCTCCAGATGGCAGATGCTTCCAGAGTGGAGATTGATAGACATTTCCATGATACACAAGGATGTTAATAATGAATTTCAAAATGTTAGCCAGAGGCCTCGGATCTGCGCCACTGGTAAACTAGAAGATATCTACTTTTCAACTCTACCTGCACTCTCAGCCTCCTTAGTTATCACTGCATCCCTGGAGGGCAGGACCAAGTCCAGGCCCCATGGCGTGACATACAAGGTGTTCCCTTCCATGCCCTGCTTGCTTCTCTAGCCTCATTTCCTCTCACTCGGCCCCTGGAGTCCCAGCACACACCACCTGTTTCTTTCCTCTGTACTTTCTACAGGGTTTCCCTCGGAGTGGCATGCTCTGCCCACTGCTTTCCCATCCTCTACTCACATTCCCATTCAGCATTCAGGGGTCTTTTACACACAGCCTTTCCTTTTACACATGGCCTTTGCTCTGGGGTCTTTTATACACAGCCTTTCCTGATCATCTCACAACCTCCAAGATCTTCATTTCCTTCTCTGAATACCTTCTGAACTTCACATATTTTATCAATACACATGTAATCTAGATGTCAGCTGAGGTCGACCGGCCCCTTGAGATCCGGGTAAGATTGAGCATTCTAGCTGGGCCTCTTTCAGTCTGTAGAAAGTCCAGTGGCCTCCCAGGTTTGCTCAGGTGTTTCCAGTTCTTATGGTCACCTTTGGCTTTGAAATCCTGCACTTAAACTCCTGTACATAAAAGTTCAGTCTGAATTAGTTCCGTTTGTGTATGTACTCATCATCCCAAGAGACATTTTGGTTTCCCCCGTGTGAATCCAGGCTTAGCATTTTTTCTTTCTTCCCAGTCACCACACAGTCATTATGGCCTTTGTCAGTGAACCAAATTTTGTTGAAAATGTCAGATGGAGGGGGCTTACTTTGGAGCAAGCAATGGTCTGAGCCCATTTACAATAGAACCTAATTGTTAAACTAGAGTCAACATAGATTCTCTCTGCACAGTGGGAAAAAGTATGTGGTCTCCATCCAGTTTTCTGATTTAGTCAAGTGCAGGTTGCTTTCCTGACTAGGGTGTGGAGGCAATAGTGGTTGGGGGTGGACAGGAACTGACTTGAGCTTTCTGGTGGCTTTTGACAGCTGTATGTAAACCGTTCTCCCTTTGCCATGTCAGCTGTGCTCAAAGCCCTCAAGAACTCCTCCATGTCCCAGAAGGCTTGGCACAATGCTGCAGCCATTTGAACAGCATGCTGCTTCCATCAAAAGAGCACCTAGCTACTGACTCAGTGAAAAGGATCTGACCATGACAACCCAAGGGAAACCCAGAACTGTCTTAGTTATTCCAAAACCAGGATGTTTCATCCCAGAGAGTGGAGCCCACAAACACTCCAAGTCTAAGACCTCAGCCAGCCACAGATACTTGAATTGAGTAGTTTCTCTTCTGGAATGTTCTTAGGGAGATGATGAGCCTTGCTTGCCAAAGCCTATCTTGCCTCTTTGAAAATGTTTATCTCAGACTCTTGTATATTGATTTTTGTCCAGCTCTCTCTGATACTTTAACCTTGACTCATCTATTTTCTTTTTAATTTATCCGATTCTTTCTTGTGCCATGGCCTGTTTCTTTTATGCCAATGTCCAATCCCTTCATGTACCTGTGTTCAGTAGAGAAGATGAGAAAGGAAACTCACATGCACTGGCCGGACATTAAGCCATTTCAGATTTACAGTTACACCCAATGGTATAGCTGTTAACTATTGGGTATAAGTATAAATCATTATTCATCATTATTCCAAAGTTACAGGTAAGGAATATGAATCTCAGAGAAGTTACGAGACTGCTCCAATGTCTTGTGTATGGAAAAGACTGTATCCCATCCATTACACCATGCTGCCTCTCAGAGGACCATACTGCCTACCTGATTCAAGATTGCGTGTTTCCCATCCTGTGCTTTGATTACCTGCCTCTATAAAGTCCTTATCCTGTCCTAAAAATCTGCTGTGGTTCAGCCTAGGGTCAGCACAGTGGGGGCTCTCCAGCAACTCTGAAAGGAATGCATCTATGCATCTTCTCCCTCTTCATTGCTTTTTGCTTCCCGGCTCTTTGCAAATTCCATACTTGCAAAGAGCAGTAGAATGCTGTGACCTGCCTTCCCTTACACCACTTAATACCATTGCTGTGACATCATCTTGGAACAAGTCCATAATCCTTTTCTAGGCCTATCTGTGGGCATAATGATTCCCAAAGACTATGTCTGGTTTAAAAGTCCAGCACAAGGGAGGCCCAGATCGTCACCTGCAGAAGCTCTTCCACTGGATGTGAGTAATCAGATAACACTGACTTGAAGGACTTGCAGGACATTGTTTGCATTGGGAGCAGAACCAAGAGGTATGAAGATCTCACTGTTGGACCTCCTTGGGCAGATGTGCTAGCCACATCTGGTCCCCAAACATAGGCACTGGCACTGCTAGTATTTTGTACTCTATTCTGTGCCTGTCTTTGTGGAGCAAATGTTCTCTCCAAACAAGATGGGGTAAATTAACCAAGGGGCAAATCCTCACAGCGCAGTGGGAAGTGATTCTCACTGCAACATGTTGGGGGAAGAGCTAACCCCCTTCCTTCTCTCCCAGCTCCCAGTCAGGGAATTGGGCCAGCTTCTTCTTAACTGTATAAATTTTACAGTCCCTCACACCAGCTCATGTTCTCTGTTTACTCTACAACCATCTTTCTTGCTTAGCCAACAAGAAAAATTTAAAGTGATTGCTTGCTTATATCTAAAATGCTTCCAGACTGTAGACTTCTTTGGTGCTTACAGGTTTGCATGGAAAGAAAAGGCTGAAAGCTTTATGAGTTGAAAATTCAGACTTATCACTAGATCTAATGCTAGTCAGCTGAGGTTCCAGTGGCTTTTAAACACAGCTAAGTGGATTTTAGCTGAAAGATACAACTAAACATTTCATCATTTATTCATCTTTCAACTTTAATTATTGGAAACAGCCTGCTTAGTAATTCCCTGGACCAAAATTCTGATTTGAGGAATCTTACCATTAACTCTTTGGTGAATGGACCATAATATCATAATTAGACACATTATGGAGAAGTCTGGTGACTTTATTTCCCAAACCACCCAAAATGAGGTGTTTTATTTAAAGGGAGAGTGTGTGTTTGCCTTTAGGCTAACAAATTTCTGCCAATTTTACAGAAAGAATGTATGATGTTATCCATCCACTGTGCAGAGAAGTTGCACTTTAGCCTCAAAGTAATGCCTGTGGAGACAGGTTGTCAGGTGTTGAAGGAAAATGTATGTGTGGTCAAGTGTTTCCAACCAACTTTAAGTTTTCATCGCAAATATGTTCGGTTCTGAGTGGTAGCAATTCACTTTCTCACCGTTATAAATTGGCGTTTTCTTGATACTTACAACCCCAGATTATGGCAGTTTTGATACCTATCAGAAGAGATGCACACACAAGGTTAACAATTTAGAGTCCTCCAAGACCTTTATGTTCCATGCTGATAGAATTAGAAATGACATGACCTCATCCTACTAAAAAACAAAAATATCCCAGAGGGGGAAAAAATGAACTTTTTTTTTTTTTTTTTTTGAGATGGAGTTTCACTCTTGTCACCCAGGCTGGAGTGCAATGGTGCAATCTCAGCTCACTGCAACCTCCCCATCCCAGGTTCAAGTAATTCTCCTGCCTCAGCCTCTCGAGTAGCTGGGATTATAGGTGCCCTCCACCATGCCCATACAGATGGGATTTTGCCATGTTGAACTTTGAATTTTTAATCGATGAACATATTTCTTCCTCAAAATTTTTCTCTCTGCTCAAAGGAAACCTTCACATTTTGCTGTTGCACTTTGCTGGGGTCATTACCTGCCTGCATGTTTGTAATGGTTCCACCAAGTTCTTTGACTGGAAACCTCCACACAATGTCTTGGATAGTTTCTTTTACCTCCTGCATGGTGCAGTTCCTTCTTCCCACACACTGAGACTGAATGCATTATCCTGTTGCTTTTGCGTTTTAGACTTCCAGGTCCTACCGCGAGGGTATCCGCTGCAGGCAGCGAGGCCAAAGCACGTGGAGGGTCAGCTACTGCTAACAACCGGCGCAGCCAGAGCTTTAACAACTATGACAAATCCAAACCAGTCACCTCCCCACCCCCACCGCCAAGCAGCCACGAGAAAGGTGAGTCACCTTCTTGAGGGGCCTTTTGGCATCTTTCTTTAGAGCACATCTATCTAGTTCCTTTGGGTGAATTTGGTTGGGGTCCTGGGGAGGGGTTGCATTTGCGGTAAAAATGGGTTACAAGGACATATCTGACAGGCAGGAACTTTACTAGCCAGAGGCATTAATAAAGTGGGGAAAATATTGTTACATTCACCAGCAAAAATAATGTGCTATCTTTGTTTGGGTGGGGACCCACAGACACCTGCCTATGGATAGAAGAAATACAGCATTTGGAATTTGAAAATACATTTTCATGGAATATGTTCAATATATTAAGCAGTTTTTCAGAAGTGCAAGCTCCTTGGAGCATGCATTTTGTGAACTGTGATAAGCTTTTTTATCCATTAGAAATAATGTGAGGGGAGTTAGGAACAAGAGGTTTTTCACCCTTTGAAAAAATCAGGAATGTGGATTGGCTCATTGAAGATCTTGGCTACATATAAGGAGTAGATAGCATTGCTCTAGGAGTTGTGATGTAACTTTTGCCATAAAAGGATATGAATTTTTTTTTTTTTTTACTCTACACAGTACTGAGTTTTTAGTATGGAGATAAATGGTGGACAGCCTGTGAGGGTTCTGAGGTAGTTTCAAAGATTATTCAAAAAGAAATAGAGCCTTCCTTCATTTCTTCTAGGTAAAATAGTCTAGACATCTTTGGGAAATATGTTCAGGTCTCTTGGAAGCATTTCCTACCTGGCGTTATGGAAGCTTCCTGGGGCTGTCTAGATGGTGTTTCTCTATTTCCAGGAAACTGCCCCCTCACTCCCTGAAGTGCCCGCAGAGCATGGGCAGCCCTCCTACTGTGACTGAGCTTGAAACCTCCACCATCCTCTCCTCTAACTCAGGGTCACTTGATTCAGTGGAACTGAGTTCCCCCAAGTGTTTGCTATTCACTTTATCTTTCCTCCCCAAGGAAATGTATATAGGGCTGACAGATGTGTATGGAAAAAGGTTTCCCAGCCAAGGCACTGGGAACTCTGCAAATGGCACTAAAGCCATAACCAGGATGTCTCAATCCCTCAAGACTTTGTCATCCAGCCCTTAGTTTCTACGTCAAGCAACCATTTTTACTCTTCTTCTCTCTCTTTTTTCCCTTTCTTCCCCTTTTCTCTCCCACTTTCCTTTTCTTCACCATACTCATGTGTTTTTTTAAGTGTGCTTCGATTACAAAAATAATATATGCTTGTAAAATGGTACAAGTATCAGATAAAAGTTTTCCTACATATTCTCTTAGAGTACAAATATGCACCATTCTGTATGTATCCATCCAGAACTTTCACAATGCATTTATATGTATATATGTGTGTAATAGAAAGGTTTGTGTTTTTACATTGATGTGTGTAAGCTAAACTTTTTGAGTACCTACCGTGTGCCTCATTTTATCCCTATTTTACAAATATGAAACTAAAGCAAAGAAAGGTTAAGTACTTGCTAAAGTCACATCAGAGCTTGTGATAGATGGAGTTGGATTTGAACCCAGGGACCTTGGTTTCAGAACCATGATTAATAATATCGTGCTTCCCCTGGAAGTGGCAAATGCTTGAAGCTTTGCCTTTTGAGGGCTAGTTGGTTGGTACATGAGGAGAGAGTTGGGAAGAGGTTAGGAAAAGCTTGTGCTGGGCCTTTCCTCGTGGGTCAATCTGCCCTTGCCCCATGGTTATTTGGAGAGAAGCTGTCATAAACAATCTGAAAGATGGATGTGAGATCCAAGTCCAAAAAATGGTGAAAATAAAGGTAAAAGTTCCTAGTGGATGGAACAGGGTAGGAGGATACTGTATTCTAGAGCCACCTACAGGTGTGACCACCAATGCTAAGACAGCCACTGACCTGTCCCTGCCTTCAGCAAAGGCTCCCACATGTGCTCTAAGCAGCCTGAGAACAACGAGGCCCCTTAAGGCCTGTGGTGCAAATTCCAGTAGAGGCAATGTCCCAGGGAAAGATTTTAGTGCCAGAATAAAGAAAGGGAAGTTGTATTTATTTATTAAGTGCATATTATATGCCAGGGACTTTGATTTTCTTTCTTTCTTTCTTTCTTTCTTTCTTTCTTTCTTTCTTTCTTTCTTTCTTTCTTTCTTTCTTTCTTTCTTTCTTTCTTTCTGAGATGGAGTCTCACTCTGTCACTCAGGCTGGGGTACAGGTGGCACAATCTTAGCTCAGCCTCCCACGTGGCTGGCATTACAAGTGTGTACACCATACCATAATTTTTGTATTTTTAGTAGGGACAGGGTTTCACCATGTTGGCCAGGCTGGTCTCTAACTCCTGACCTCAAGTGATCAGCCTGCCTCGGCTTGCCAAGGTTCTGGGTTTATAGGTGTGAGCCACTGTGCCTGGCCTGATTTTCAGTATGGTACCTGATCTTTACCAATGTTCTGTGAGGTAAATACTGTTAACCCAATTTTACAGGCAGAGAGAATGAGGTTAATAGAGATTAAGTAACTTGCCTTCACTGGTAACTAAGCACTGGAATTATATCCAGGTCCCACTCCGGGATTCAAACTCTGGCTTCGTCCTGTCCTTGGGGAGGTCTGTTATGAGGATGAGGTGAGATGGTACATGTGAGAATGTTATGTGAGCTGTGATGCTGGAAAACTGTGAGGAGTCACAATGACAAAAATAACTGATGGTGGTCCCAGTCTGTGAAAGGGTGCATTTATCCTCTCCCCTACCCCGGGCTGTCCCAGGTGCTTTTTATACTAACTTTTTCAACCATCCTGAGGTAGAAGGCCAGTGGAAGTTTACTTTCAGATACTTCTGCATTTCCTCCACCTTTTTCCATAGTTTCTGTGTTCTCTCTTGAACCTGACCTGTTGATTACAGCTCCTGAGGTAGCCAGCCCACATGCAGAGTGAAATAACTCAACCACCTGAGTAAGACACAACAGATACCTGGACTAGGTCATCTCTTGTCCTTCACCTTGAGAAGTTCCATCTCAGAGAGGGATGCTCTTGTGAACAGATGAACCACCGTTTGTTGTGGTGGGTGCTGTAGCCTAGGTGTGGACTGTTTTCAGGTGAGGTAAAGTCTGTGATGTAATCCCATCACCCATGTTCCTTCATCCTTCACTGAAGCCTTCCTGTAAGTGAGTCAGACCCTGACTGAGTTGTGTTCTGGCAATTCACTCTCAGGTGAGCCAATTCATAGACTACTTTTTAAAAAAGTAATGGCAGAATACCTATAACATAAAATTAACCCTCTTAACCTTTTAATCAATAATGTTAAGTGTGTTCACATTGTGGTGCAGCCAATGTCTGGAACCTTTTCATCTCGCAAAATGGAAACTCGCTACCCATTAAACAGTAACTCTCCATCACTACCTCCCACCAGCAGCCCCTGGCAACCACTATTCTACTTTCTGTTTCTATGAGTGAGTCCTCCAGATACCTCATTCAAATGAAATCACACAGCATTTGTCTTTTTGTGTATGGGTACAGAGCTTCTGAAGAATAATTACTTATAAAGCACTTTAGGATACTGATGGAAAATAATAAACACTGAGAAGATTTTATCTATACAAATGTGATAGTATATGCATAAAATATGGAATAATGTAAATAAAGGGCTTATTTTACTTAGCATAATGTTCCCAAGGGTCATCCATGTCATATCCTGCAATTCATAGACTTTAATGTGTGACCCCGTTGACCTAAGAATTTCACTCTGAGGAATTGATCTAATGACATCAGTAGCTTAAATTAAAAGTTCATTACTGGGCCGGGCGTGGTGGCTCAAGCTTGTAATCCCAGAACTTTGGGAGGCCGAGGCGGGTGGATCACGAGGTCAAGAGATCGAGACCATCCTAGTCAACAAGGTGAAACCCTGTCTCTACTAAAAATACAAAAATTAGCTGGGCACGGTAGCGCGTGCCTGTAGTCCCAGCTACTTGGGAGGCTGAGGCAGGAGAATTGCTTGAACCCAGAAGGCAGAGGTTGTGGTGAGCCGAGATGGTGCCATTGCACTCCAGTCTGGGTAACAACAGTGAAACTCCGTCTCAAAAAAAAACAAAAAAAGTTCATTACTATGTCAATAAGAGACAAAAACATTTCAACATCTAGTTCCAGTTAAAAAAAATATTAAGAGTAATCAGAAATTGTAGGAGGCAACTTTTCAAAACCTATAGAGTACTTCATACTTTGTAGGGAAATCCTAAAGGATTTGTCTTAAAATCATGCCCCCTCTTGCCATCATCACTGAATTTAGTTCTGATTACACAGAAAAACCTACTGAGATGTGAAGCTGAAGAAAAGTGATAGTAGATAATATTTTTTAGGTACAAAAGGCCTAGAGAGCCACACAAAATTCGTTCAGTTGTTCCATAAGGTGGTGGCCAAGTACATAGTTGATGTATAAAAACCAAAAATGTTCCTGGATAACAACATAACCTACTGGTTTTCCCAAAGACTGATCTCAGATTTTGCCTGTGAGGTTTGGAGGAAAGTCTGCAGAGCCTTTAGTATCATCATTGCCATCATGTTTAGATTTGTCTTTCATTTAGTCTTCTCTCTCCTGCAAGCAGCAATGAGCCACAGCTGTGCCTGACCCGTGGTATATATGAGCAGATTTGGCAGTGAAAAGTCAGTGTCCAGAGATGGTCAGGATGCAGGGAGACTGCTCACTTTCTCTGCTGACTCCAAGTGCCCCTAGGGCTCCAGACCAGAATCACAGGTTTTTCACGGGCAAGGAAATAGCTGTGACATGATCTGTTTTCTCTTCCTGTCCTCTCACTTACGTCCATTGAGTGAATTAACACTGCCTGGGATCTAGTACATCTCTAAAGTATTTGGTCCATCTCATGAGTTTGAAACAGTTGGTATTCCTAGACTGACTTACGTTCATATAGAAGATGTTGTCTTCTAAATAATATGGCTTTCTTCATTTTACAGTAAGAAAATCTTTATTTTCATTGTAAGAATAATGGGAAAGCATTCAAACAACATAGAAATGTATTAAAAGACAAAGA